AAATATGGGCAAAAACAAAAAATAAATCAACGTCTCCGGAAAGGCTTGTTTTCGAACACGGCACCATTATTTGACGTGAATAACATATATTTCTCACACCATCGCGTTCCGTAGCAAAATTGTGTACATTTAAAGAAGTTGAGGAAAATAAGAGTAAATAGGGGCAAAAACGAAAAAATAATCAACGTCTGCGGAAAGGCTTGTTTTCGAAGACGGCACCATTATTTGATGTGTATAACATATATTTCTTGCACCATCGCGTTTTGTAACAAAATCGTATACATTTAAAGAAGTCGAGGAAAATAAGAGTAAATATGGGCAAAAACGAAAAATAAATCAACGTCTCCGGAAAGGCTTGTTTTCAAACACGTGTCCATTATTTGATGTAAATAACATATATTTCTTGCACCATCGCGTTTCGTAACAAAATTGTATAGATTTAAAGAAGTCGAGGAAAATAAGAGTAAAAATAGGGGCAAAAACGAAAAAATAATTAACTTCTCCGAAAAGGCTTGTTTTCGAACACGACACCATTATTTGATGTGAATAACATATATTTCTCGCACCATCGCATTTCGTAACAAAATTGTATACATTTAAAGAAGTCGAGGAAAATAAGAGTAAATAGGGGCAAAAACGAAAAAATAATCAACGTCTTCGGAAAGGCTTGTTTTCGAACACGGCACCATTATTTGATGTGAACAACATATATTTCTTGCACCATCGTGTTTCGTAACAAAATTGTATACATTTGAAGAAGTCGATGAAAATAAGAGTAAATAGGGGCAAAAACGAAAAAATAATCAACGTCTCCGGAAAGACTTGTTTTCGAACACGGCACCATTATTTGATGTGAATACATATATTTCTTGCACCATCGCGTTTCGTAACAAAATTGTATACATTTAAAGAAGTCGATGAAAATAAGAGAAAATAGGGGCAAAAACGAAATAATAACCAACGTCTCCAGAAATGCTTGTTTTCGAACACGGTACCATTATTTGATGCGAATAACATATGTTTCTCGCACCATCGCGTTTCGAAGCAAAATCGAAGCGAATCACACCCCTCATGGGCGAGATCTTCAGGAAGACATGATCACCGACCACATACACATGCTTCTGCCTCTTCCGATCGGCATAGACCTTCTGTCCCTCTTGGGCAGCCCTCATGGTCTTCCGGATCTCATCGACTGTGACCGCAGTATTACAATAAATACCAGACCCATGATCTTCCTCTCTCCGACCTCATCCCAATACAAAGGAGTCTGGACTTTTCGTCCATACAAATCCTCATACGAGGCCATCTTGATTGAAGAGTGGTAGCTATTGTTGTAGGTCAGCTCGACTAACAGAAGGGCATACTCCCAAGTTAGGCTCCGGTCCAAGACCACAGTCCCTCAATATATCCTCCAAGTACTAGATCGTCCACCCCAACTGACCATCTGTCTCGGGGTGAAAGGTTGTACTGAACTCCATCCTCGTCCCCATGGCTCGGTGCAACGTCTTCCAGAACTTGCCTGTGAACTACGGGTTCCGATCAGACACAATATCCACGGGCACCCCATGAAGCTTAACAATATCCTTGACGAACAGTTTGGCGTAATCACTCGCCTTCATGGTCGTCCGAACGGGCAGAAAGTTGGAAGACTTCGTGAGTCGATCCACGATTACCAAAATAGAATCATGCCTGGACCTCGAACTAGGCAATCCCACCAAGAAGTCCATGGTGATGCACTCCTACTTCCACAGGGGAACCTCAAGTGGCTTCAACAGCCCTCTTGATTTCTGGTGCTCAGCCTTCACTTGCTGGCACACCAGACATCCATCCACGAACCTCGCCACCTGCCTCTTCATGCCTCGCCAACAAAAAGATTTCCTTAGGTCCTAATACATTTTCGTGCTACCAGGATGGATGGTGTATAGGGCACTATGGGCCTCTCTCAGAATCTCCCTTCGCAGTTCCCACACCTGCGGAACACATAGTCTGCCCTCGAAGACCAAGGCTCTATCAGATGCGACTGTGAATCCACCAATTCTACCGGCTTCCGACAACTCCTTCATCCGACATAGAAAACGATCATTCAGCTGCCCGGCGTCTATTCTCTCTCGAAGAGTCAGTCTCACAACCAAGGCGGTTAACATACCACCGGCTGTTGAAGTCGACTCCACTGTCTCTAGATGTAGTCACTAGAACTCCCGAACTAAGACATCATGCCCGGTGAATAGACAAGACAGCTGGCCATAACTCCTCCGACTAAGGGCATCAGCTACCACATTAGCTTTCCCAGGATGGTAGCTAATGGTGCAGTCGTAGTCCTTGACTAGCTCCAACTACCTACGCTGTCACATATTCACCTCCTTCTGAGTGAAGATGTACTTTAGGCTCTTATGGTCGATAAATATCTCACACTTGCCTCCATAGAGATAGTGCCGCCAAATCTTCAAGGTGTGAACAACAACATCTAAATCGAGATTGGGAGTGGGGTAGTTCCGCTCGTGAGGCTTCAGCTGCCTCGTAGCATAGGCTACAACTCTCTCCTGCTGCATGAGAACACAACCCAAGCCCATCTTCGAAGCATCACTGTAGATAGTGAACTCCAATCGAACCTCACGGCCAACTTCGTAAGGTTGGTTAGTGGCTGGGCTATCTTCGAAAAGCCATCGATAAACCTCCTGTAGTATCCTGCTAACCTAGGAAAACTACGAACATCAGTGGCACTCCTTGGCGTATCCCACTTGCTCATCGCCTCAATCTTGCTGGGATCCACCTCAATGCCTCTAGTCGTCACAATGTGGCCAAGGAATGCCACATAATCTAGCCAGAGCTTGCACTTCGAGAATTTTGCATAAAGCTTCTCGCAGCGAAGAGTCTCCAGCACAACCCTTAGATGCTCCTTGTGCTGGTCGATGTCCCGAGAATAAACCAGGATGTCGTCGATGAACACGATAATAAATTGGTCCAAGAAAGGATGAAAGAACTTATTAATAAGGTCCAAAAATATGGTTGTGGCATTGCTAAGTCCGAACGGCATCACTACAAACTCGTGGTGCCCCTATCTGGTTCGGAATGCAGTCTTAGAGATATCCGACTCCCAGATCTTCAAATAATGAGAGCTAGACCTCAAGTCGATCTTCGAGAAGACACTGGCTCCCCTCAGCTGGTTGAAAAGATCCTCAATTCGAGGAAGGGGGTACTTAATCTTAACCATAAGGTGATTAAGCTCACGGTAATCAATGCACATGCACATAGATCCATCCTTCTTCTTCACGAATAGGACGGGCGCTCCCCACGACAAAACACTCAGCCGAATAAAATCGAGCTTAAGCAATTCCTGGATCTGGGCCTTGAGTTATTGAAGCCCCTTTGGCGCCATACGGTAAGGGGACTTAGAAACGGGACCAGCTCCTGGTGCTAAGTCGATGGTGAATTCAACCTGGCGGTCAGGCGGTCCTCCAGGCAGTTCGTTAGGAAAAACATCAAGATACTCGCAAACGATAAAGACTCTCTCCGAAGACCTCTTAGAAACATCCTCGGATACAATCGACACAAGGTAGCCTTGACAGCTACCCTTGGAACGGCTCTTCATAGCTTGCATAGAAGAGATGACTCGAGGCACTGTCCTCGACTTCACCCCATAAAACATGACGGACTGATCTAAATCGGGAAAGAGTGTGACTTCACGCTCCTGGCATCGGATGTCGGCTCGATAGCGAGTGAGCCAGTCCATGCTCAAGATCATGTCAAAGTCTTGCATTTCAATAATATAAGTGTCGGCCTCCAGAACTCGTCCACCGATATTGATATTAAGACCGCGAATCAAAGAATTAGAGATAGTAATTTTTCATAAGGCTAGACTAGCCTCGAGAGGATCAACCTTGCACACATTACTAAGGGATAAAGCTTCAAGAAATCGCGAATAAATGAAAGAGTGGGTGGCTCCGGTATCACACAAGGAATAAACGGGCACATTGGATATAGAGAGCATTCCTGGCATAGTATCTTCATTGTTCGCTGCCTCATAATCGGTAATGGTATAGACGTGGGCCTGGCCTCTCGCCCACTGCTGGTCAGGTGGGGGCTGTCTAGGCTGCTTATGCTGTTGAGAAAAGTGACCGGGACGGTGGCAGTTGAAACAGTGTCTGTCGGCTGCTCGACTCTCTCCTGGCCCATGGAACTTGCCGCAGTTAGGACACATCGAAAGCTGTCCCTGAGGGGTTTAGTCATCACGTCTCCCAAAATTTCCCTTCTTTCCTTTCTTCTTGTTCTGAAAATCGAACTTCATCTTCCCCGAGTTAGAACCGGGCGCAACAACTGAGATAGGCTGAATCATAGGGGTCTGCTGATAAGATGGGTAGCCGCCTTCTGGGCATTTTGGCAAACCTCTAACTTGGTGGCTCAGTGGACCATCTCGGAGAAGAGTAGAACTCCGTGGCCAGTCAGGGTATAGCAAAGATCTCGGCGAAGACCATCACGGAAATGAACGGCCTTCCTCTCATCGGTATTTATGAGCATCGGGGAAAACACGCTCATGCGGGTGAAGTCATGCTCGTAGACATCCTGTTTAAGCTCCCAAAACTCTCGCAGCATCTCGGCACGGTAAGCCTCCGGGAAGTACCTATCCTTGACTATAGCAACCATCTGGTCCCAAGTCAGAGCATCTCTCTCAGCACAAGGACGAAACCTCCAGTAGTCGGACCACCATGTCCTAGCATCTCCGGTCTTTTGGAACGTAGCACAACGAATTTTCACCTCATCAGTGGTGAATATCAGATCAAAGATACTCTCTAGTTGCTGAAGCCATTCGACCACATCTTCTGGGCCCTCAACCACAGTGAACACCGATGGATGCATGTTACGAAAATCGAGCACATAATGGGTAATGGGATCTCTACCCGAGACATGCTGCTGAAGAGGAGGAAGAAGCTGGGGAGGCGGTTGCTGCTAATTGCTATTGCGGGTTTGGCGAGCCATTGTTCTACATTGAGAAATGGGCCGAAAAGTTTAGCACATATATAAGAAGATCTAGGGTTCATCATTAAACACTAGAGTTCGCTTCAATCATAGGTGGATAGATCCTAAGCCCCAAATATAATACATACTTATATAAACAATTCATTTCATAAATAATTTCAGCATTATTTATGACTTACATACCTCAAGCGGTGAGACATGACGAAGACGAGTGGTCAAAGCACAAAGTCTAAATCGCATAATCACATATAAACCAGTATACAGAAACGAATATTGGCTCTGATACCAAACTGTGACGCCCCAAAGATTTTTAAAGACAATTCCAGACTTATCCAAAAAATCCCGTTTTAAAATTTCGAAAACCATTTATCAATTTACTAAAACATTGGCGCTACTCAAAAACATTTCACACATGATCAGCAAAAGGAACATGAAAAGCCAACATAATTCAAATTCTAAGACTGGATTTCAGCATATCTAGTCAAAAATGATTGTCAACATGATCTAATGCTGATAAATAACCACATGGTTTCAACAGTCTAACCATTCCCAAAATGCATAGGGAAAAAGATGTTCATCAAAGTCTAACAAATGCAGAAGCAAATAAAAGCAATAATAAAGTTGACCATCCACTCGTCTTTAGTCTCGTCATGCCCAACATGTGCTTAACCTGCATCCATGAAGAGCAGGTCTGAGTGAGCACAAATATAATCGAGTAGCTCACCACTATGCATAATATATTGATATACATATACTAGAGTCATATGCAAGTACATGGTCAAAAGACATAACATACCACACTCCTACTCATCACTATACTCATGTGCACACCTATCATAAGCCGCCAGGGGTAAGCCCAAACTCGTCAGCGGGAGTACAGTCGTGCCGAGGTTCAACACCAATAGTCACGGCCCATCACCTAGGCTAAAATGAGTCTACCTATCACAAGGTTGGAGATCGCCTACCACTAGGCACTTTCTCATGACTCACACATACATTCATAGGACACTCAGTATAAAAATCTTACCTCAAATTTTAAATAAAACCCACCTGGTCGAAAGCGAAGGTGCACAAACAATAAAGGGCAGACGGCGAGCTCGACTCGTCAAGCACCTACAACAAGTCAAGATACTACACTCAATATCTTATCATGACCTTAGAATAAGCACACAAATCATACTTAGTAAAACTTGATTCAACTAAGTTGCTCGTGGAGTTCTGTGGACTTTGGAACACTCGGACTTGACTCGAAACCAATTATGGCAAACACACCAATTTAAGTTGGTCAGGCAAACGAATGAGTCGAGCTCTAAAATTTTAACACAAAATTCATACTACTGGACATAACAATATCACCAAGTTTCAACCCTTAACTCAAAACACATTATTTTATAAAATTAAACCAAGTTTTCAGCAAATACGAGCACAAGTATAAAGTCTGACCAAATGAACGAGTTAACCTTTGATACTTTTACACAAGCAACTACAACATGTGGGTAACAACTATAAGAATTCCAACTTTAAACACTTATCAACGAATTATAAAAATTCTGACAAAATTTAGCAGAAAACTCATTTTAATTACAAACCTATCATTAAGAACAAACTGAATTCTTAAAACTTTATGCCAAATCATACAACATAAAAAGAGTGTGCTCACCAATTTTCAGCAATTTACAGCAAAGGGCCGGTTTATCATAAATAAAATAGGTTTCAGCAGAATACTATAAATAATTATTTACCCTAGGTAAAGAAGTCCAAAAATTATGGGTTTTTAACTAATTATCAAAATAAGAGAGAGCAACAACATAGTAAAATCAGCCATTTTGGAGCACAACTCGATTTATTATGCGTTTTACAAGATTCTACCCAAAAATCGAAACAATTAATTAAAATAGCTACAAATGAAATTAAGCTCTGAAATTTTTACAGGACAGGTATAATCACCACAGAACGTCACATATAAATTTTCATGGCAATCGGAGCTACATACAAATTATCATGAATGTATTAAAATTCAACAGCCATTCAAGTTTCGAAAATTCATAAACAACTCAACAATCATCGAAATCGTCTGAGGCCTTCACCATCAGGCTAAGGACTCATTAATGGTTCCAATATCACAGCACTTACATGAATTAAACGAGACCTCAATCAATTTATCAAAAATCAAACGTATCTCAACATTAAACACATAACACGTAACACTTAACATGCATAATATCTTAAAAGGCACCAAGAACATATAAAGGAAACAAAATCAAACGGGATAAGAAGCTCAGGTACCGTTTTCAGGACAGGGGTCACGAAAAGGGTCGAGACGGGGCTGAAACGGACTGCACGAAGGGGCTCGACAACTTCGTTTGGCTCGCCAACGGAACACGAGTCTCGGGACAGCAAATAAGGTCCCGTTGTTACCTCACGAACAACAACTCAGCGGCAGCGTTCAGAGTTAGAAGGCTTTCGGTCACGCGAATAGTGGTGATGAGGCAAGGACCGGCGGAGGAGATGATGCTGCCGGAGGTTGCTGTGCGACGGAGGATGAAATCGCCAGAGGAGTTGCTGTTGGTTCATCGCTGCGATTGATGAGGGCCTCGCAAACTGCTGCTGCATTAACAGAAAATCGCCGGAGGTGGAGTAATTAGTCGCGGTAGAGGGCTCACAGGTTGCTGTTGGTCGCTGTGGAGGTGTTGCGGGTCGCCTGAGAAGGAGGGCTGCAACGATGGCGAGAGGATGGTGATTACTGGGGAAAATATGATGACAGGAACGAAACACGAGAGGAATAAGCTCTCTTCTTTCTGCTTGCGCGAGAGAGAAAACGTGAGATCGAGGAAAAATAAAAGCTGTGGGAGTGATTGTCTGCTGAGGGAAAATAATGACAAGCTTAGGGATTAATCTTTCCCTTTTATAACACTAGGGTTAGGCTTGATTTACCAACTTGGTCAACAAGTTAACAAAGGAGAAGGAAACCGGTTGGGTCGCACACGGGCGCGGGTACGGGTTCGAGGCTCGATATTGTACGATAATTAAAATAAAACAGGGATACTGATATATATATATATATATATATATATATATATATATATATAATACACATAATAATATTTTTCAATAATACACATTTAATCACATAATAACATTTAGGCAATTTAGACATTTAATATAAATAACAATAATATTTATTTATAAATATCTAGTATTTAGACAAATAATTGCAATAAGGCTTTCAATAGAAATAATAATAATAATAAAGATAATAAATAATAATCTCAAATAATCTTTATTCAAACGGGGTATTACAACATACCTCGAGGTGGTGCGGCAAAACGAAAACAAGTGGTCAAATTGTCATTAAACACACTAACACATGAGATAGTCTACAGAAACGCAGACTAGTTCTGATACCATAGTGTAACATCCCAGTTTATTTTAAGGAATTTACCGAATTTATTTATAAAAATCAGAGTTATTTTTCGCAAAATCCCAATTTAAAACTTTGCTTATCAACGGGCGCTACTTAACTACCAATAACAGTTACACAAATAAGAATAAGCATAAAGAACCTACACATGCATAAGCTATCAATTATCAAACCAAATTTATTCATAAATCTCAAAATAAACCAAATAGTTCAACATGATCCAACGGTTCATCCGACATGTTCAAGGTAACTAAAGTGTAAGCATAATAATCCAAAATAAAATAAGTGAATCAATAAGAACAATCATAGGCGGAAGCAAACGACACTAAATAAGCAACATCGAATGACCACCACTCGATCGTTTTCTCGCTACCGCTGCCAGCAATGCTCAACCTAAAGAAAGGAAGAGGAGACAAAGAGGAACAACAACGGAGGTGAGCAAAACCATCATGCTCACCATTACCGCACAGCTCGACTCGTCAAGCACCTACAACTCAGCTCGTCAAGCACCTCACCTACATTTAATAAAAATAGCCTATAAATGACTAATCAATGCATGGACAACTAATCAAAAATCACTTAGTCCAATTAAGTTCTCATAAGCAATTAAGCAGGCTTTTAATCAAGGAAATCCCATTTCTGAAAACACTACATAAGTTTTTCAAAACCTAACCCGGGCAGCGTTTTTAAAATCAACGTAACTTTCAGCACATAATTCATATGAACATGATTCAAGTTGCATTTGAACACAAAGACATCCATCTACAATACTTTCGAAGCCATCAAAACAAATAAGGTCATTTAGCAAGTGATAATTCAGCAAACATGTGCAACAGAGTAGCAGTCAATAATTGAACTCATACAGCTAACATAACTTCAGTAATTGCAGGATAAATGAAGCTACAGACCTCCAAATGACATGATTCTTAAACACTTTGAAAGCTAAGTATTAAGGCTACAACTTTCATTTAGAACATAAAAGCAGATAAGGTCATTTAGATAGTGTAAAAGCAGTTAACATTTTATAATCAGTTTCTGCCAAAGTACAAAACCCTATCCCATGCATATCTACATTCATATGAACACAACTCGAGCTACAAATATCATCTCAGCATGAATCTTATCTCATTACAAAGCTAATCAACAGACCTATTGTTAGAGGTATGCTATAAAAGCTATGTTTTGCAGATTCTATCAATTCCATTTTGATCTGGCCATTCCATCATGTTTCGGTCAAAGTACATATGTTTGCAGTTTATTTATTCATGTAAATCATACTCCATGTCTTATATTGAGATAGTGTGGTTCGAAGAGTTCCGAATAGAAAGATCACATATCGGTTCCTTATAAGACTAAACTATTCGTTCACAGTCTAGACAGGCAGTGAGACCCCTCTTGGAAAAAGACTGTAGTGTATTCTTGATTCAGTTGGTCTTTGACTGAAGGATTACACTAGTACTTATGTTAAGTGTTGAACAGGACCACGAAAGGATAAGGATATGAGACTCACTGACCGTTGTTGTAACCTAGACCTTCAATGATTGATGCG